GTTGGGGCTGTTTCTATCACGGTAAGAATTGTGCCCGAAAAAGTATTAAAATTTTCGTTGTTCTTCTACATATAGATCAATCTCTCGTGGTTCAGCTACATAAGATTTTATTCAGAGTAACAGTCCCAGCAGGGTTCTTACCTTCGACACTAATGGTGTTGAACGATGCGCTAGCCCTAGTCAAGAACATAAGAAGTGTGACTGAACAAAAAACTCACCTTGGAAAGCCGCGAAAGGGAGTTGAACGCCTTCGAAGTGGGCGTGGCGGCCACCGATCGTAAGCCCCTCTTGCCAGCCGTGGAGATCGCGTGATTGGCTGCGGAGGCATTTGCGTGGATCGTGGATCGAGTTCAAATAGTTCCTGTCGTCCCAAGTCGGTCGCAAAAGCGGTTAGGCGTCAGGTTAAATAGAGTGTACATACTACGTCTCATATCGCACAGCACGCGCTGCGACTCGTCCTTTGCCGCATCTGCGTCTCTTCCTTCGCCGCGCGACGGGCCTCTTGGGGACACCCGATGAGAACCGTGACGCTCAAAAACTAATTCACCCATTAGTTCAATCGGTGATTCGGGCTAATTGTTTTGCAAGTAGCAGCACGTTTGCTTTCATTTTGAAATGACAATTCACATTATGTGGTCGCATCTTATAAATCGCTTATGTGATAAGTTATCAATCAAAACGTGATGTTTTTAGCGTTATACCGGAAATTGAGGTTAACACGTCAAACGACCTCTTCTTGGCCGCCGTTAATTTATGGTCGAAAAGGAACGGACAAATAAGGCATCCCATTTTGCGTGTTATTGACGGATCTGCTTTTCTCTGCATTTTTTGCGGCTGGCGTTCAATTCTCAACCCCAATTCCCTCTGAACCCATCCAGATTCTATCGAAATCGCTGCCTCTACCTACTCACTGAACTGTGACTCATTGTGAGCTTGTTTTACCGTAGTATCTCAAAATAGCAAGATATGAATAACTCATTGTGCTGGAGGATTTTTTTTGAAATCTTTTTCTTTGGAACGAAATCTGCAGTCTATGAATTTTTTTATTATGCGTTCTGTCGTCTCTTATTATAACGTCTGTTGTTTGCTGATTTCTGATACTTTGCTTATGCTTGTAGGTCATTACCTTTTCAGGAAGACGTTGTTGAGGCTTGCACCTCTAGCGGCGGCATCATACTGAAACCACCTGGTGAGTATGTCTGATTTCATAAAAATCTTTGTGCGTGAAACTTGGTATTTGCGGGTCATCTTCTTTTGAAAAAACCAACCAGGAAAAGTGTGCCAGCTGTGCATTGGGTTTAAGAGAGCATGCTTTCACCACTCTTTCGCTTTGTCCTGCCTGACCTCTAAAAAAAACTATCAATAATCACACAAAATGTGTCAAGTCAAGAGTTTGAAAAGTACACCGGGGGGAGGGGTTTAGTATACTGTATCGCTAACGTTGGGACAGTGCCACCTTTCAGATTCTAACCGTTAGTGCTCCAGGCCATCCGGAGCTGCTTCCAATGGACTTTCAATCATTCCATTGCGTTCCAGCCAGTGACGTTTTCTTCATACATTCAGGTGCCTTTAACAAGCATGTGAACAACCTCTACGCACCTCCCATGAAGATGTAACCGCACTGCTTCGCTTACCCCTGTGCATAGGTAACCCTCCCCTTTCCGTTGGCCGAATACAGTTCCCCTCGTCGGTCTTTGTCCAATGGACGACTGACTCTAGGCAGTGGGTGAAATAAGTTAATGGCGAAAAGCGGCGTACCTCAAGCTAGTGTTTCTGTGCTTATGTGTCCCCGCTCGACCGCAATTTTGGAGGAACTATGGTGGCGCGCGATAAAGTACTCCAAAGTATTTCTGCTCAGGTAACACCAGGGTACGGCACTACGGCACTATTGATGCCATGAATCAGAAGAGGTTACATCAGGGTCAGAGGGCGGAGTGGGCGGGGGGGGGGGCACTGCTACGGCTACTTCCTCGACGTGATGTTGAACCTGGCAAGCCAAGCCGTCGAAGGGTAGAATTTATTTCGTGGTTTTAAATACTGCTTTGAACATGCTCGACTGACGCATTCTTATTCTGCAGAACAGAGATGCAACCTCCAGGATATATTTCAGGGCGTTTGGGTCATTGCACCATGTTTGGGAGTGGTACATGGCAGAGCGTCGGTGGAACGAGAAGCGTCGGAGTGACTGTAAGCGGCTGTGGGGAAGCAATTTTGAGAGCGAATTTCGCTCGATCACTTGCTGATCGATTGTTGAAGAAGTCAGTTACAATAATTCGCATTCTTCCACGTGCTATTCTGGATCTTATCTTTCAGAGATTGTGAAGAATTACCATCGTCAGTGGTGCATTCGTTTTTTGAGCATGAGTTTCTCCACTCAAACGTAATGCCAGCTTCAACCTCTTACCGCTTATACGCGGGTGGATTGGTGGTGCTTCAGCAAGAAGACGAGCCTAATGAACTGATAGTGTTTCATAATACTCCAGTTCTTCCTTTTGCCTATCGGTCAGTCGGATCAGTTGTACGGAAAACGTTTGTCAAAACTGCCTGCTGGCTCCAACATCTTAGTAGAATCTTATCCTTGTCGGTGATATTTACATTCCTCATGCACATATGTAATTTATTTTCATCTAACTTCCGGGAAGTCATCAGTGATCAATGAGTCATCTTGCAGTGTTTTTATTTTTAGTGTTGTTTTCTTATTCGGTTACTCACAACACCTTCAGGTATTCCTTTTGTTACACTGAGCAGCTCAATGGGTGAGTGGAGCAGGGATTGACATATTGCTACGAGTATTCAAAGGAAGATTCCACGGTAACTACGAAGGTCGAAGAAGTGGAAACCTACCCAGTGAAGATAGGTGGACTTCCTGAGGGTGTAGACCGACATTCATAGAAGGGTTTTCCCCGGGGCCTCCTCTCCTATCGTGTCTATGTCTCTAAGGGGTACCCGTCAGGAGGCCCGTCGCGCGGCAAGAAGGCAGGGTCGCGGACGAGTCGCAGCGCGTACTGTAGCGGTTTCGCGTCAAGTTAAAGAGAATGTCCCACAATACGTCCCACATCGCACAGTACGCACTCGTCTGACCCTGCCTTCTCGCCGCGCGACGGGCCTCCTGTCGGGTGTCCGTGTCTTTAGCCGTTCAGCGGAGAAGGCGTTAGCGGTGAAGAGGTGAGAGTCGCACCAATGCGCAAATCAACAGATAAAGAAAAGGTCCATTTCTCGGGTTCTAGGCCATTTTTCTCGGAGTTTTCTTCCTTAGTGCATTGCTGACCATCTTTAACTCAGTTTCCAAATGAGCTGCCTTTTCATCATAATATCCGCCTTTACGTTGCAAGATTCCGTCATAGCCGTTGATTGTTCCTCTTCCTACCAGCTAGACGTCTTCCAATTGCGTTCATGTCCACATGCGAAACCCCCACTTCGATTAGTGAAGGACGCGACGCAATTCTATTTAGTGGGAAGGTGTAATTACAGTCGCAAGTCTTAGCATTCGGTTTTTCTCATGTAGGGCTATCTAAAATAAGAAGACAGTCTTACGATGGGCAGACAAGGGCATATAAAAGAACGATATACGAACCTCAAGTGATAGACGGAGAATTTAGCACACAATTTGCGAATGGAATGATAGGTTGTATACCTGAATTTATTTTGAACAGTTTAACGGGTGAAAGTTCATGTTTTGTAGTGGGTCAGACTTACAATGTTCAATAAATTATTCTAACTTGTTATCGACTATACCGATTTTTTTCATTTATATCTATATGAGGACTTTATTATATCTAATATAGTTAAGTGCATTTATAAAAATAAGTTTATATGTTATAAATTCTCAATGGCTAATAATTATAAAAATGTTAATAAACTAGTTAAAGGAATACTCAATCAATAGCTTATTGCTTAATTCAGTGGACAGCTACAAACATTTCCACCTTTTTAATTTCATAAAAGTTTTACATATACTTATCAATTTATATTCATTTAGTCAATATACAATTAATTTCATTGCATGCTCCTCTGCATGATAATTTGTACGTCACTCAAGGTTTATTCGTCTTTCCCCTGTGTCTTTATTTCGCCAATCCCAACTCACTGATGAGCTCCGGGGATTGACGAAATAATAAGGTTCGTCTGAGGAAGGAGCGAAACGAACCATTTTAATTATTTTGTTTATAATGGTTTTTCTTTCTTAATTGTCATCAATTCCTGATTTCTCAATTCATTCACTCAGACAATAAGATAACTGCATTAAGAAACAGCTGACAGACTAGTACTACACTATTGAAAAAAAAATCAAAAACAGACCTAAGGTGCAGTTAGGTATTGATATGTCATTCTACCGTCATGTCATGATTATGGCGATGCCCTCTACTATATGAAACTCCTTTTTGTTGCATACGCGTCACCTCCACGAGGTGTTGGTGTCACAGGTGGAAGGGACCACAGCGGAGGACGTAAAGCCTTGCGAAGGGAAAGGAGGTCCCGGCCTTTGCATGATTGTTCCGGAAACGCAAAATTCGTAGCCTTATAATTATGAAACGCATTGTATGAACAACGTCGTCCAATAAAGCTCTAGATATGCTCAACGACGGTCTTACTTTTGGAGGTGAAGGTTCATACCAAATCTTCCTAGGGCACTGTTCATTCTGGTCGTGTTATGTTGGGGGTCTGATGGACGTTTGAATAAAATAGTAAACGTAAAAACCACATTAACACTCCAATATGGTGATGTGGATCTGTTAATAGCAACAACAGCTGAAATGCTCTACTGAAACAGTACTCGGACAATCTGATAAGTTTATGCGTTCTTATTGTAAGGGCACTTTCGTTCAGACAGTTACTACTACCTTGGAACCCCAGGTATAACGTCTATGCTATTGATCTTTGCTAGAAATTACTCCATCCGGTCACGGAGTTCATAACGGCGCCTTTCCCGCCCTTGCTCGTGGTCCTTCGACCGCTTGCTTCCCCCCCAACCAGAGTCAACCCTGCGTTGCGCAGTTCGCAACGGCACGTTGAGAGATCCTCAACGCACGCTGTATGGGCGGAGACGCAGACGGCTCGAGCATGCGAGTGTGAATGTTCGCGCGAGAGAACGTGTCTAATCGGGCGAAACTGCGCAACGTGGCCGTTGAAAACTGCGCAACGCAGGGTTGACTCTGCCCCACCTCCAAATTAACTTCGTTTGGATGCATGCAGTCAGGACTTTTTTACTGTAAAAACATTGCCAACCTTCTATTCCTCATTCGTTGAATCCTACGGCGAACAGCAATTGAAAATAAATAAAATGAATATACATAATATATTTGTAGTGCAAAAAAGCAGCCGCGGATTGACTCTCGGATAAAGTGCGTGTGTAGAGCGCTGGTGATGGTAGTTGAGATGTGTGCCGTATTGAAAAAAACACTATATTTAAGAGCCATAACTCTCTAGAAAGTCGGGTGTGGTAGGCTGGAGATTCAGTGTCCAGGGAAGCGGGAATACGAGATGGATCACGCCGTAAGAGAGGCGATGCCATTGGCAAGGCTTTACCGCCGTTGTGGCGTACCACCGAACCGTGTCAACAACGCATCGGTGGGCTTCTCGAATAGCTTTGTTCTACCTACCGTGAGGATTACCTCAGTGATCTTATGGGGTTTGCCTTTGGTTCATAAAATCCTCACGGAAGGTTGGACCAACGCGCTTACAAATTAAGTAGCGTTGGCCCATGAGCTTGAAGAGCCAAGACAAGCGTCAATGTGTTAATCTCATGCACGTGTTCAGAAAAAGGGAATTTAGGCAGGTTTTATAACCTCGCAGTGGTTTGCTGACGAAGCAGTCAACCAGTCGATTAGGTTTTGCATCGCCATAGCTTATATTTACGGTAAGTTTGGTACCACCGAGTGGAACTTGCAAACAATCTCATTTTTGAACATCTTGCTGATTACTTACAGCAACAGGTCGGTGAAATTTTTTCTTTCACTCAAACATCATCGACCATTCAAAAAATTTATTACCATCTAACAAAATACGTAAAGGCACACAGTGGTAGTTATAATTAAAGCTTTGTTCGTTCTTTTTTTGAGAAAAGCACAAATATGATTGAGCGAAGTGTTGAGCAAGTTTGAGAGTATACCGATAACGGTTGATCAAGTAGACCTTGCTAGACTAGTGCAGCTGCCGGTATAGGACTAGATATAGTAGGCAAGCAGTATAACAACAGTCCTTGTGCACATAAATTATCTGACTAGATTGAAATTGTGACTCCTGTTAGACTAGAGAGTGGTCTCGTTGGCCTCAGCTATGGCCTACTACTACAAATACATGTATAATTACATCTACATCTACATCGGACGCTTATGACTGCAACAGCTGATCTTCGTACTGTTTCACGAAGCATTCGCCGACAGGGAAGAAGTCCCAATCTCTGAAAATAATCGAGTTACAATAACACCTTGAAGCCCACAAAGCCCATATGTGGGCTGCAGTCCGTCAACCGCCTAGGACCTTACAGCCCACATTTTGGAAACAATGTTAGTTTTTCTTTTGTTTTCCTTTCCATTTCATTCGATAAGGTTTCTTCTGCATCATACAGTAGGTTTTTCTTTCCAATTTGCTTGATAAGATTCCTAAAAATTCCACTGAAGTCCCACGCGGCCGCAAAACGTAAAACATGCGCGGTCTCCAACGTGTTAATGACCTGGGTTATAAAGAGCCTTGCTCACTCCGGGTTGTAACAAATGAACAATTTATCCGTTATTCTGCATCGGCTAGCAGGGCAATGAGACATGTGCCTTGATTAAAATAGAAGTGCTACTCTCTATTAATGAGTTGTTACAAGGGTGCTTCTACTTGCAATTATTAATAACAGAGCCTTGAAAGAATTCCGCCCTAGGAAATCATTCAATGGCACATTGTACTATAGAGCTAGATAGACAAATCCTTTAGGTGTATTACAGATCGTTCTAGAGTAAAAACGTGCCATTCTGGTCATTTTGTTCATGCAGCCCAATGCTTGCGTCCCGTTCTTCGTTACGTTCACTTCCGCGGCGCATTGTGTCTGCCCACTTCCCAAAAATGCCAATGTTATGGTGCTCCCATTTTAATTTCTTCGATAATTATCAATCATTTACACTGTCTACCGAAACAACCACTGTCTTCAAATATTCTTTCTCAGGTCAACCTAACGCTGCACATACCTATTATCGTATTTCTCTCGCACATACGTTTCTTGACCTGTGTATTCGGTGTCGTCTTTATTGACCAAGTGTTGTAGGAAGAACCTGAAATCCAATTTTGAAAATCTACATGGTGTTTAGAGGAATGTGAAATCAAATCAAAACAAGTTGGTGTCATGTATGAGGAGACGTAACTCACGCTTGCCTCCAAGGACAATAGTCAGCTTTCACCAAAAATACAGTGAGCCCTAATTCTAGCGAAAACGCTGTTGGAGGCGGAGTTCATAACAAAAAGGACCCCATTATAGATGAAGGTGCAGGGGTGAGTGGTGCAGGGACGAAAAAATTAAGAATCGGGCCTAAATATTATTGCGATCTTTTTTTACTGTGATCGACTTTCCTCATCGGGGCGAGTCTCATCAGTGCTGAGTTCTATAACCCGAACACAGCTCTGTATCTCTGCCAAACCGCTAGTATGGCTAGAATCCGGCGGCGAAAGGGTGACCAGAGGCAGGGTAGAGCCCTACTAGGCCCTAGACTACATCTCTCTGCGAACATGGCGCATTCGATGCTCGATAGTCTGAGCGGCCGGCTCTAATTTTACTTGGCATAACCTTCTCGTCTTTAGACCTTGTCCTCATACAGTCGTTCCATCCTTACTTTCAAAATATCTCGAGAAATTCTGGCTAACAAGCGAGCGCTGTTCACGGAAACACAATTTATCAGTATGGAAGTAAGGGTATGAAACTGCCGCAGAAACGATACCTATCTACACTTTCAGGCTATAAGTTTACAGAGACTAAAAAATCCTAGGGCGGTGGCCTCTGTATTAGGTGACACGGAAAACTGAGCACTTACAAGTAGTTGGCAAAGTTATGCTCCTTGGTGGTGTGAATTTCGAAGCCTCTCGGCATTCGATCAAACGTTTCTTTACCAATGTCACAGATAAAGCATGACGATTCGAGCTTCTCTGTCGCCGATTCTTGCTGATCACGAAGCTTCACGAAAGGGTTCGATGAGTAACTGCACGATAGCGAGAATTAAATACTTTTCTTCCGATAATATAGGACACGAAAGGGACAAAAAGGGAGGGACGGAAGGCGGACGCGGGCTAGGTTGGCTTGGAGTCGTCAGGGGTGTTAGCACTTTTATAGTGACATTACTGTGTGGCGTGAGTAAAGGCATAGAAGGTCTTTCAGTCTACTGTTTCAGAACTTCCAAATGATAGATAATATAAAGGAATGACAAAAAAGATGCTGTATAGTTTAAAAGATGTATTTGTTATTGTTTTAAAATAGCAAATTTTTCTTTTGAAAACCCGTCACCCCGTTCCATGTTCTAACGTTTTTTGCTTTGCGGAGGATAGCCTGCGTAACCTCGAGTGAGCCTCAAAGGTTGATAGGGCTAGAGGTGGTGGAGAGGTGGATTGCAGGTTGTGAGCGAGACGGGGTAAAAGTTATCATCACAGCTGAGTTACAGCTATGAGGATAATTTCAGCGTAGAAAAACGCCTAGCACTTTCTGCTTCGTAGGCCACGGAGGGATGTGGAACAGCGGATGGTATCGCGTAGATCAGACAGATATTGCAGAGAAAACGAGTTGATAGTCGATTGTGTGGTGGGATTTAGTAGACCTTGTTTGGATGAGTGGTCAAGTGAGAAGACGCCCGATGCACGAGAAGAGGAGGAGACTGACGGATGTCGTAAAATTCGCGGATATTGCTCTTTTGAGCTTGGTACCAGGTGGGGATCTAGATGGTTCAAGATTGCCATTTCGTCGTCCATACACCATCAGGCTGATACACCAGCATAGAAATGGTACGCGGATGAAGCACCTAAAAAGGATGACGAGACTATAGATTTTTGAGCCAGAATCAGATTACGCATTGGAGAAGGGAGACTCTCGTGCGAAAGCTGGTGTTGATTAGGCAGACCGATGCTTAGGCGTGAGGTGTTGACTGAAAGACAGAGATTTTTAGGCGGCTATAGGAGGATTATCTTCGGGCGCTGGTCACCCACGCTATAAGGTTTTGCCCTCTTTTAGTCGTATTGGGCTACTGGCCAAACGTTATTTTTTGGAATCACGCAGCAAGGTTAGGCCGGCCGTACAAGGTTTCCAGTGGTGAAAGGAGGTGACTATCACTTCTCTTTAACTTGATGCTTGCACGAAAACCGCGATAAGTCTAAGGATTATTAAATGTGTAGAAAATTGCGACACCACTTGGAGTGTTGTCGGAATTTATCAGACTAATGGAAGTACACGACTTTCGATTGACAGAAAGAATTTTTATGCTTTCTTGCTCTGCTTGTCTAGCTAGTCAATGTATTTCTCAAATCTATTATAATTTTTTGAACCAGACGAGGGAAGTTCAACGGATTTGGGTGTTGCTAGAGCATAAGAGGCGCAAGAGTGATACCTAGCGTCTGACTCAGAAAAAAAGACACTAGGCATGATAGGGTGGCGAGGAGAGGGAAGTCGCGATGGGTATGGGGGATATTTTACAGGCGAGGTTCGCGGTACTGTTGTATAGTCAAGTATGATAGACTCTTTCATAGAGTTGAGTGTTGTTTATGCTTTTTTTGCTTCACAGAATGTGTGCTTAAGAATTCGTGAATGTGAGGGTCGCCGTTTTGCACTTATTTCATGGGGTATTATAAAGTGTAGGGTGTGGAGTCCAAGAAGGAGGGAATTACGACTCGGAGGAGTGATGGATGGCGTTAGTTGCACTCGCATTCGAGGGAAACTCACGGCGGAGTTACGTGACTGTCTTCGAGAAGAATTGTTCAGGAAGAACTGCTGATGGGCCTACATTGTGGGTTACATTGCGTGTTGTTTACTACGAAGTTGGGATTATCTATTTGCATTTTGATCAGTTGTGAGGACGTACAAGAAGCGGGCGAATATCTGGGCTAAATTTTTCTAATTTATTACGTCTACTGCAAGTATAATGGGCGGCTTATTTTCGCTCCAGGATTTGATCCCGGATCGCTCTGGAGCGTCAGAGGGATTCAAGCCTGGAGGGGCGCGAATCAAAAAGGGGATTGATCAACGGCAAATGCTTTATCCTTTATCCTTTTACCTTCGCTCCCACCATGAAAATAAGCAATTTGAAACCGAAAAGCTCTGCTATGATAGCAGTTTGGAAGTGCAGAAAAATACAGTACCGTAAGCATGTTGTGACATTTGCGATCCAGGCTCCCGTCCTTCACCTTCTTGAACGAAGAATTTCCGGAAGAAGTTGAAGGCGATCACTGTGTACAGATACACAACCACCAAAACCATCATGATGGTGAGGATCAACTGGAAAAAAATACAGTTTAATTTCCTAAGTTTTCTTTCGGAATGTGACAAGGTGGAATGTGATTTAGGCAACAACCAACGAGGAAACTAATGGAGGTGAGCAATGAGACGTGCTGTTTATGCAATGCTTGCGGTTCGCTGTCACAATTCCCTACCATATGGCGTGGCTGGGTTGTTCAGACAGGAAGAGCCCATTGTCGAAGACAGCGCCCACGAGGATCCTTTCGTGGGAGTCGGAAATAAAAGCAAGCGTCGGAAGAGTTGATTGTGTGCTTGAGGCATTCGGGTATGAGCTAGAGGTGTTTACGGTTTGGGAAAAGAAAAAAGTGCCCTAGATTTGAATCGTATTTACAACGCAGACCCAACTTGAATCGCTGTAGCTAGAAAGGCATAAGTGCAGCGTGCTTCATTGATGATTCATCAGACAGACGAGCGCAATCAGCCAAGAGATTTAAGTAAGTTAGTTGCAAAGATTGATTTACGTGCTTAAAGGCATGCCCCAGGATCGCACTGGTGTGGCTCTTGCACACGAATGTGAATGTATCGGTGCCAAGTGGGCCGGCAGTGAAGAAAAAAGGAAAGAATCCGTCGAAAACGCTCAGGTTGAGGGCTCACTCACCTTCCTAATTGGCTGTGCTAAAGGAACGAGAGACTAAGCGCGAAGAGGAGAGTATGGGGCGAGAGAGCGCATCAGATGAGAGAGCACCAGACAACGGCCTGATAAGAGAGCTCGTTCGCTGCAGCTCGAGCAGCTTACTTTGCAAGCCCAAAGCGTTCTTGTCGGTCGAATTCCGTGCACGTGAACGCCACATTTGTGATTGTCCCCTAGGGTTCTATACTTCTGACCGAAGAGAAGCGTTCACACGACCTCTGCCTGGGTTGTGCCTTCAAAAAGGGCGTGAATAGACTAAATCAATTACCTCATCAAAGTCAAGGTGACTTCAATAATCAGAACTTCTGAACACACGAACTACACCTAGCTCTAACCTTTCCTGGCCTACCCTGAGCTAAAATTTAAGCGATGTGTAACATTATTCTAGCTAAGCCTGTCTAGGTTTTGCGCTGGGAGGTTCAGGTTTCATCATGTTCCACATAGTGGGTACGTTTAAACGGGACAGACATTTTCGATTACTTCTCCCATTCTTGTGGTTTACTTTGGTGATACTGGAACAGTACAATTGAATTGGGGACTTGGACGACTCCACAGTTGTTTAGTTTTATCTGATCAAGGACTTTGCACGGTTTCCGTGTTCAGCCGGTGTAAGACTTGGCGAATCAAGGGATTCGCTAGCGAATTGTGTGGTACGAGCGTTGCACCAGCGAATGGAACTAGTCCGAGCTGTGCAGCCAGAGGTTTGAACGATGTTCCAGCGACTTGACAGCGTTTGAAAGTGGCTGGTGATCCTCTAGGCTTCTTAGGTGAGTCATTCGAGCTTGGGAATAAAGCTTTGGAGGCTCAATATCTGTTTGCGCATTGCATCACCATAATCATCTAACGAGGAAATGTTTTTTGAAGAGATGCACATTGCTGCGTGAGATCGAAATTTAGCTTTGAATGAAATCTTTTTTTCTCTTATGCCCCCCCCCCTTCTGCTTATTTTGCGTAGTGAAATGTGAGACATTAACAAATCCAATACGCAATGTAAAAGCCCGAAAAAACCTCACCTGTTGCAGGTTATGGGTGACAGATTGGAGAATTGCTTTTAACATAGGGAAGGAACGACACCTATCGTCGATCAGATGGAATGCGTAGAAGAATGGTGAAATGAACACTCCACAAGCCGAACAGAGCAGATAGCCGACACGATAGAGGAATTGGCCGTTGGTAAAGATTACGCCAATCCAAAGCCAGCAAGTGTACCTGAAATATGTCCCGTCAATTTTCTAGTCAACAGAAAAATAAGTACATATGCAGGACCAGAAGTGATGTGATCGTCTTCAAGCGGAGTTGTTTGGATACGCAACATTTTTCTTTTGAGAGTGACTCACAGATTCACTGATTAGAAGGCCAACCAATTAGAATCAAGTTAGAGGAGGTAAGGGTGTTGGGATGAAGAAAATTATGTATTAAAAATGGCCCCAGAACCCGAGAAAAGAGACCCCTTACTTGGAAGTTGATTCTCGCACTGATGCTACTCCCATTGATGCTAGACTCATCAACATTACGCTCTTTATGACACAGCTGGAGACTTTTAGCAGGTTTTGCAGTCGGTGGGCGTACCGTGCGCCCCCCCCCCCCCCCCCCCCCCCCCCCCCCCCCCCCCCCCGCGATATTGCCGCGAGGAGGGCCAAATAGGCCGCCGGGAGCATATCCTACATTGCGAGTTGCATGTTTGTCCGTACTTTTAGAAGGTTCGCCTATTTTTCCACTAGGTAAGTTTCCTCTTCTTCGACCTTTGACCTTAGTGTGAAATCTTCCTTTGAAATCAACTGGCGCACGCGAAAATTGCTTCGCTTTATATGGTTTGTGGTGATTTCATTGTTCGACGGTTATTTTCAAAACGGAAGAATTCAAAAAGCAGAATAGTTGCTGCTGGGTGGTCGCGGCTTTCCTTTCTTCGAAGAACCGGTCCCTGTTCAAGCATAATGAATGTGCGGTCGACATTATCGAGCCTCTTTCTTCACAATAAATGTAGACCTACCGGTAATCGAAACTGTTATCTCCAGAACTTTTTTCTTCGCCAAGTATGGATGTCAGGATTTCTTCATCAACCTGAAAACAAGAACAACTTCTAATACTCGTTAAATACGTTAGTAATCATCAACTGTCTTTATTAGGTGATCTAAAGGATTTGTGTGCTCCGGAGAGACCGTCAAATTATTTAGCCATTATTTGGTCAGAACATGGGCGGAAACTATTCCTTTGATTTCATTCTTTTCCAAGAGCATATCTTCCTCCCTTTTCGAATGACAATATTCACGCACTTAAATAAAGTCGAACCTGATCTTTGAACTTCTGACGAGTCTTCCGTCGAACAAATTTGTCCCAGTACATCATTGGAAATGATTTCGAGCTAATCACAATTCGATCCAGATACCTTGAATATCCAGCAACAATTAAGTGGAAAATGCGTGCGCAGTCAGTCTAGCAGACTGCGAGGTCCGAGAATTTCCGGTGATCTTTGCTTTTTCTTTTATAAAATTGCATTATCCATGGATAAATATTACAATATGGCCTCCATTGCACTGTTAGACCAACTGTTACTTGATTATTCTTCGGAGGCAGTGTTCACGATAGATGAGGGCCGGATGTCTTAAACGGCGCAAGAGGCGGTCAAAGTCCCATCCCCTGTGCGCTGAGGACTCCAGTCAACCAGTAATGGTCGACGACGCCATCAGAACCGCGTCACCCTCCAGCCATTGTGATCACTGTCTTAATAATTAACAAACCATAGTAAGGTGTCGATGACGCCGCTCTCCTCGTTATCTTCTTCGGTGATCCAGCATCCGTCGAACATGAGACGTCGTGCGACTTCTTTCTCACGTTTGAAGGTGATGAGCGGGATCTGAAGCAAAGAACGCTGCATTCCGATGAGAAATCACTGATATTTCACCAGCTCTTAGCAAATTCTCTGGCAGGCCTCAAGCTCTTGTAAAATTCATCTTCCGCAGAAGATTTTTTCACAACTTGTACGATCAAACTGTGTTCACAGAAAGCCTTTAATCTCATTAAGGTATTAAATTGCTACTTCCATGATCTCATACAAATTTTTATTAGCATTTCTATTTTTTAATAGCATACTTTCACCAAACCTATGGATGGCCATGCTGCAGAGCTGGAGTAGGATTGGTTAGAAGAAAAATAGGCAAAAGAAACCATTGAAATGCTAAAATTGAGGCTTATTTCTTCTTAGGTAAGACGGAGTGAGGCAGAGAAATATCGCGTGAAAGGAGAGAGAATTTACAAGAGGGACACCATACAAGAGGGCGCATATTAGGACCTACTTTTATGTTGGAAAACCACGAACGCGATAACATGATCGTTACAGCATCCCACTCTGCTGTATAAGAAGACAGTCACTTGGCATATGTATCCATCCGCTTCCTAAGAGACTGTTGATGTGGCAAGTGGAACTGAGCAGGGCGGATATGAGGCGAATGTAACGTGTGCAGGAAAGGGAAATCCCGATGGTTAACGAGGAAAACACTGTTCCTTCGATAAATGATAGAGGGACGATAAAGGCAAAGTTATCGACCCTTCTGCTCGATCAAACCAACAATGCCGACGTGAGCCTAACCATAAAACGAAGCTTGTCAGAGATCTGAATTCAGGACACTTACTTTGAGTTGATAGAAAGGAGACGAGCAGCGCAAATGACGTCGTCAGGTGAAGCACACTGATCCAGTACAAAACCTGAAACAAAACCATAGTTTGCATTAACCACGGCGCCTGGACTAACTTATTGTACATGTGCAAGAATTCTATTTATTTCAGGTTATGATCAACATTATTTAGGAATGACTAGTAGTAGCACCAACTACACAGTAATTCAAGTGATCGTCCGTACTTCTCTCAACTGGTAAACTTCATTCAAGCACAGCACCTTGGAAACGGTATGGCAAACTTAACAAGGCGTCTATAACTGGAAATTGCCTTGCCAAAGGTAGGCAATATTGCTTTGTGCGGTCAGGTCAGCCGGCCGAGAGATTTGGATTATTTCAGCGACCCACAATACTTCATGATGATGAAGCTGCTTCAAAGATCGCTTACTACTCCTTTAGAAAGAAGCTATGCCATGGGCATACAAAAAGACTTGGC